CCTGTGCGCGCCGCCGGCCACCTGTGCGCGCCGCCGCGGCGGCCTGGCTCGGGAAGCCGATGGACCGGCCCCCGAGCGCCATGAAGCCCAACTTCTCTCTGCGACTGAGAGTCTTCAACCTCAACTGTTGGTGAGTCGGCCGCGACCTCTCCGTCCTGTGATCTCGGGGTGCAGGGCGAGCCCTAACCGCCCAGCCCTCCGCGGCCCCAGCTCCGACGGTGCCAGCAGTCGCCTCCCCTGGTCCTGCCCTTTTGTTCCTTAGGGACATTCCCTACGTGAGCAAGCACCGGGCCGACCGCCTTAAGAACCTGGGAGACTTCCTGAACGCGGAGAGCTTCGACCTGGCCCTGCTGGAGGAGGTGGGGTTGGTTGTGCGGCCCGGGTGGGGATCCCAGGCGGGAGGAGGGCGGAGACTCCCCGCGAAGAGCCAGGCGACATCCTCGCGCTTCCCGCAGGTGTGGAGTGAGAAGGACTTCCAGGACCTGAGGCGGAAGCTGGCTGTGCCCTACCCAGCTGCACACTACTTCAGGAGGTGAGAAGACTGCAGGTCTAAGCCTGTTCTCAGCCGGGAAGCTCCTGGTCCCGCCAGGCCTCCCTGTTCTGCCCGCACCCTCCTTCCGCTCCCTCTGGGTGTGCGAGCAGGAGCGGCTGAGCCAGGAAGGTCCTGTCTAGTCAGCGCTTCTCAGCCTACTAGCAGGTGGCCCCTCATCCCCTGCAAAGGCTACTGAGCAGTAGGGAGAGAAAAGTAGCTGATCTCAGCTGGGAGACAAGGGAGAAGGAGAGGGCTGGGAATTTCCCTCCTTGCTGTTCTGTTTATTAAGCAGGCCTTGGCTTTCAGCGGAATCATTGGCAGTGGCCTCTGTGTGTTCTCCAAACATCCAATCCAGGAAATCAGCCATCACGTGTACACCCTCAATGGCTACCCCTACATGGTAAGCCTCGCCTCTTCCACCCTCGTTAACCAGGCAGAAGAGGCACCCGCCCCTGGGGTTGAGGGCGCTGGGCAGGAAGGTGGCAGTGGCTTGAGTTGTTGCCTCCTCCTGCTGGCAGATCCATCACGGGGACTGGTTCTGTGGGAAGGCTGTGGGGCTGCTGGTGCTCCATCTCAGCGGACTGGTGCTGAATGCCTATGTGACCCATGTGAGTGAGGCCAGAAGTGCCCGGGGCACGGGATTCCTCTAGCCCTGCTACATGAGGGTGAGGTGTGGGATCAGGATTTCCTAAGGTCTACCCATTCTGTCTCAAACATGCCAAGTGACTGATTTCAGCAAGCCCCTGAGACCTTTACCTGCTAACCTCATCTGTCCCCTCAGCTGCACGCCGAATACAGCCGACAGAAGGACATCTACCTAACGCATCGTGTGGCCCAGGCTTGGGAACTGGCCCAGTTCATCCAGTGTGTGAGCCTGGGCTTGACGGGAAGTGGGATGGGGCCCGGGGGCTGATGGGTGGCCGGGGCTCCACTTACCCAGTAGAGGTGGCAGGGGAAGATGGCCTTTCTCACCAACCCGGCTCCCCCAGCCACACATCCAAGAAGGCAGATGTGGTTCTGTTGTGTGGGGACCTCAACATGCACCCAGGAGACCTGGGCTGCTGCCTGCTGAAGGAGTACACAGGCCTGCATGATGCCTTCCTCAAGACCCAAGACTTCAAGGTGAGGACCTAAGACTTCAAGGTGCCTGTATCCCTAGCTTCTCCCCATTTCTTGCCCCCACATCCTAGTGCTAGCTGCATGTTCCCCTAGGGCCCCGAAGACGGCTGCACAATGATAAAGCATAACTGCTACGTCAGCCAGCAGGACCTGGGCCCATTTCCCTTTGGCATCCGGATTGACTATGTGCTTTACAAGGTCAGGCTCCTCCCCGCAGCACCTCCGCCCTTTGTCTCCTTATCATCGTCAGCCTATGCTGAGCCTTGTTCAGCTAGCCCTTTTGTGCCACAGATGACTAAGAATAGGATGGCGGGGGCTGCCTTGGCCCTCCGTGTGCACGTCTCTCTAGTACTTACTTTTCCTAGGCGGTTCCTGGGTTCTACATCTCCTGTAAATCACTCAAGATCACCACTGGTCATCACCCCCACCATGGCACCCCACTCTCTGATCACGAGGCCCTCATGGCAACTTTCTGTGTGAGGCACGGCCCGCCTCAGCACAGCCCCAGCCCTCCCCACAGTGAGTGCCCTTTTCCTTGGCCCTTCCTCACTTCAAGGCCGCCCCTCCACTCTGACCTTCTCTTGCCCTCTGCCCTGCCCTGTCTAGGCCCAGCAGAGAAGTCATCACTGATCAGAGTGCTGAGGGACGCCTGGATGGAGATGGGGCTGGGCATCGCTCGAGCTCGCTGGTGGATTGCCTTTGCTGGCTATGTGATTGGCCTGGGGCTGCTTCTTCTGATGTTACTGTGTGTTCTGGCAGCAGGGGAAGGGGCCAGGGAAGTAGCTATACTGTTTTGGAGCCCCAGCGCAGGACTGGTGTTAGGGGCAGGCGCAGTCTTCCTCTTCCATGTCCATGAAGCCAAAGGCTTACATAGCATCCAGGCCGAGCTCCAGCATGCGCTGAAAAAGGCAAAAGAGGCGCAGGCCCTGGGCGCAGAGCCCCAGCTAGCTCCACTGCTGGGGCAGCAGGAGGGGGACAGAGCCGAGGAATAATAAAGCTTGACACTTCAGTGGTCTGCCTTCGTCCTTGTAGAGCCAGTGATGGGAGCCAAGGTGTAGTGAGGCTGTTGCAGTGGTCAGCTTAGGGCTCTCACCTCCCACATCCATGCAGCCTAAACCCTGTTTCTGGCAGAAGCGTTTTTATTGTAAACAGGCTCCCTTCCAGGCAGCCCAATGAGTCGGGATGGCACTGTCCTGGCATGAGCCCATTTTGTCGGGAAGAAGGCAAGCAGTGCTCTCCTAGCCCAGGGGCCCTGTCCCTGAGGCCAGCTCGCTGAGCCTGCACTCCTCCCGGAAGCGGATGAGGGCATCCCTCTGGTTCACTACATCCACCAGCTTCCTCAGGATCTGGTCTTCAGCCTGTCGATCCGCAGCTGTCTTTAGTGTTTCTGAAGGGAGAAGACAAAGCTTAGACAACAGGAAAGGTGGCCGGGGAGGCAGGAGAGGCTCAACCCCAGTCCGCCCTGTGTGATTTTATAACCAGGCTTTGTTTCCTAGCTTGTAGTGTTAGAAGGCTTGTCCACCCCAGGGGTTTTCCAGCATTAGTTAGCAGCAGGCACCTTGCTGAAGCCTAACTGTGCAGTTCTTTTTTTTTTTTTTTTGATACCGGGACTTGAACTCAGGACCTTGCGCTTGCCAGGCAGGTGCTTGTGCCACTGAGCTACATCCCCAGCCCCTGTGCAGTTCTGATTGAACTGAAAGGACAGTGGGGGCTGTGGAGTTCCATCCCGTGGCTTTCTCCTCAACTGCCTGGGTACAGGGACTAGAAGACTTGATTGGTTTGTATCCAAGGTCACAGGCATTCCGCTCACCTTCCCGGTTCATGTAGCTTCGCAGCTCGTGGTCCAGCTGCCACTGCTTTTCCTCCAGGTCAAGTTCCTGCACCCTGTGGAGGTCAGGAGTGAAGAGGCATAGCTGTCAAGGGCGCCACGTGCTTGGGGCCTGTCTTGTGTGCCACGGTCACATCCCCATGCCTTACGTAATCATGAGCTCGGCCTCCTCAGCTACCAGGCTGTTTTTCTTCTGGACCAGGTGTAGCAGCTGTTCTAACCAGAGTTTCTTTTGCTCTTCTGGGGAACCTGACAGGAGGGAAGAGGGGTGGGCAGGGTCACAGGAGAATGTTGGGGAACAGGCTTGGGGAAAGGAGGGTATGGCGAGTGTGGGTGTCAGTGCGGTGTATCGTGGCCATGGGCCCTGCTGTGGGCCAGAGGTTGGATCAAGGGGTTGGTGTGGGTTGAAGACAGTGTCACGAGACAGAGGGAGTGGCACAGCATATCCCTTTCCTGTCTTTACTCACTGCTCTGGCTTCTCAAGGCCAGCTCCAGCTTCATGCCCTGAGCCTCCAGCTCCCTCAGAGCAGCCTCAATCTCGTGTAGTCGCCGCTGGATGGCCTGAGGAATACAAGACAGGAGGCCCTGGGGTCTGGACCACTGGAGGGCAGAGCACGAGAGCTCTGGTCCCAGGCCCAGAAGTATGATCCCCTCAGAACATCTGACAACCCCAGAGCCTTACCTGGGCCTTGTGGAACCTCTTCATCTCCTCCTCCTTAGCATGGCGCAGCAGAGTCCGGCGCCATGTTGGGTAGTTGTTCATGGTGCCTGCATTCTTAGCCATAGTCAACAGGGCCTGTGGAAGGGTTGGGCCGGTCAGGGGTAGGGCCTGGCAGGCAGAGTGGGGGAAGCTCTGTGTGGAGGGACAAAAGAACCTAGGCTGGGAGCGGGATAAGTTCTGGCAGGCAAGGTGGAGGCTGGAAGGCATGCAAGTCGGTACTGGGTGAGAACTGTCCCAGAGTGCAGTGTGAGCCGAGGTTTCTTCTGTGGTGGGGAGGACGGTACCGAGGGGTACATGCTGGCTAGGGCAGTGAAGGGGGCCGGGCGCCTGCCATTCACCTGTTCCAAGTCTGAGTCCAGAGGCTCATCGTCCTCTTCCTCTTCAGAGGAACTCTTTTCCTCCTCCATGGCGTCAAGAACTGAGCAGACGAGAGGGAGACATGGCCTGGTATCCCCATCTCCCTTCCTGCTCCCCAGTATTCCTGAAGGAGTCTCAGTCCTCCCACCCCACCCTCGGGAAGAGCACTCACCAGGCAGACTCTGGACGGGCACACCCCAGCCCACAAAGCTGCTCTCCAGGGCCTGGCGCGCCAAGGCCGAGCAGCTGCGAGGGGGCTTGGGTGGTGGCTCCGTTGCTGGGCTGGGGTTAATGTTGAGGGAAGACAGCCGCTGGCGTTCCAGGCTGGAGAGACGGATCAGCCGACGGGCAGGCCGGCTGGGGTCCAGGGTGGGACTGGCCTCCTCTTGCAGGGCTGTGGGAATTGAGGCACCTGGTGGCACACTGTCCTCATCTGGGATGGGGAGTTCCTGGAAAAGCCACCACATGGTCTGGTCAGGGAGCTGCCCAGTGTGGGGCTGCAGGCCACTCCTTCGGAGCCAGCATGGGCTCTGGCTCTCATCCACTTAATATCTAGAAGACACTGTCCCAGGCAGTGTTCTGGATACTGGGCTACAGCAATAAGTAAGCAAAGACAAATACGCCAGGCTTCAAGCAGCTCACTAGTCCAGAGGACACAGCTTTCATTCAGCCCCAGCAAAGTGCTGCACTAGCGACCCCTTCTCTCCTTCCCATGCCACAGCGCACGCGCACGCACATGTACACATGCACACACTCACAGTCCTTACAGGGCTAGTGCGGCCTCCATCCATCATATCCTCTTTGTGGCCTGTCCCGGGCAGGTGCTGGAGGCAGTAGAAATGCCCTGAGGAACGTGGAGCGGGTGGGGCATCCGTTAGGGCAACCCGATGCCCAGACATTCAGTTTCTCAGGGATGGGAGGCCACACGACGATGACTTACAAGTAATCTCTAGCAGCCCTGGGTCCTTAGAACCCCTCATCTGGGGTTTGGAGGGGACAGAAGACCCAAAATTCAGGAAGAAAGTGCCAGCTTGAGCCTGTTTGCACCTCATGCCCAGCACCTCTCTTTCTGTCCACCCTCAAGCTCCTTGTGCCCAGCAGAGCCATGCCCAGAGTCTCTCTAGGGGTCTCCCAGGCCTGCTCACCATCTTCTGGGTGCTGCCCGTAGCCACCTGGCCACAGTGTGGCCTCACAGGCACGGCAGCGGAAGCAGCTCCGGTGGAAGAAGTGGCCATCTACACAGAAGCGCTCCAGGATGTAGAGGTGCTCCCCACAAAGGGCACACAGGTCCCTGGCGCCAGCCTGCACGGGTTCCTAGGACACAGCGTCAACCAGCACCCAGGCCAGTTGCAACTTCCCGAAAGCCTCTCTTCCTTCCCCCCTAGGTCTGCTACAAGCAGCGCTCTCACCTCCTGCTGTTGGGATGGGGGTTCTAGGGGTACACTGGGCTCCGGTGCAGGTGGCTCCTCAGTACTTGGGGTGTTAGCCTCTACCTGAGGAGGTAAGTGCCCGGCAGGCAGAGTCAGTGTGGGAGAGGAAACAACAGAAAGTGCTGGAGAAGGGACTGAGGATGGGTTGGGGGTGCTGGATCTGGGGTGCAGAGCAAGGTGGGAAACAGGACAGACAGGATGGACACCATCCTTCCCCTGTCTACACTCACCTCCAAGCGAGGCTTCTTGCCACCGGCATCCTCCTGGTTCTCCTGCAACAGGTCCTACAGCTGTGAGCAGGAGACTCGGGCCGCCGCAGGCTGCCCCCCGCCCCCCATCCCCGCCGCCGCTGCTGAACGTCCTCTACCATCACGCAGGGACGTCATTGGGCCCCTCCCTCCCCTGCCCCAGGCCTCCCAAGACGGCACCTTGGCCCGGGTGCGCTGCAGTGTCCTCTGGAGTTTGCCAAGGAACAACACCGCGCTGGAAGTCCCTGGAGAGGATTGGCTGACAGGACCTGAAGCCCAGTCTGGGTGTCAGGGTAGAAGAGCCATTCTCCAGCCCAAGCAGGCCCGTGGCGGGCGCCTTCTCCCCGCTCCCGTGCCCCAGCACCCAGTCCCACCCGCCTGCCCTCTAGGTCACCTGGGCTGCCGGGCGTGTTCTTGAAGGCACTGTGGAAGTGGCTGAGGTATGCAATGAGGCCCAGGGGGTCGCTGCCTGCCACCACTGCCCATGCAGACACTACAGGCGTGATGCCCAGCTCGTGCTCAGCTACCTTCAGTGCCCGGGCGGTCGCCTCCAGGGCGCCCAAGCCCTGCAGCTCCGAAGGCTCCCTGGGGGTGTGAGGGAGACACCACTGGGCTCACGGAGTGGGGAGAAGGGAGGGAGCAGGGCCAGCAGGCGGGATGGGGTGTGGTGTACTTGTCCTCTTCGCTGGCTCCCAGTGACAAGCCCCTCTGGCCTTGGGAGCCTGACCCTCTCACAGTTCTCCCCACTGAAGGCATCTGATTCTGTCAGGACTTGGGGCAGGCAGTTAGGCGGGGGGGCCCTCCCCACAGGTGAGGACAGGTGGGCAGAGGGTGGGGCTGGCGCTCTGGGCGTGCTGAGAGTCCCTACTGTGAAGTAAAGGGGAAGGCAGGGGCGCACGAGAGAGGTATGGTGTGCAGGGGACCCTGTGCTGCTCCCGGACTCACAGCAGGCTGGGCCGCAGCCGGTGCACCAGGGCACACAAAGCGAGCCCATCGGCCCAGGAGGAAGACAAGTTGGTGACGTGGACTCCTGGGTACCCGGCCGTCTTTTCCTGGCACCAGCGCAGCAGCTCCTCTTGGGTGTCTGCTGACCCTGGGAAGCAAGGCTGTGCTGTGTCCAACGCTCCCTCGGCCCAACTCCTGGCATGCGGCCTAGTTGTGTGATATGCAAGCTGGCATCCGGGACCCACCCACCTGTCCTGGGGCATCGGCCTAATGCTCACAGCCAGAAGCACCTCCTTCATCTCCATTCTTACTTTAAAAATCCCTTTTGGCATAAAGTGAGAGAGTGAGCACAGCAGAAGGATTAAATCACTAACAGCCACACAGAAGGCAGAAGGCCGTGAAGCGAGAGGGGAAACAGAGGCTGAGAGGCTCAAATAAAGGCAGGTTGGGGTTTGCAAGACCGGGAGAGGTTGGCAGAACCGCAGCTGCTAAGCACCGCGGCTGGTGTAGTGGTTGATAACATACTGTACTGAATTATTTCCTAAGGTTGGCGCTGCTTGGCTGTCACTGCCCTTCCACTCACCCAAGGCCCCGGCTGCCCCAACAAACACTGGTGTGCCTGTGGGCTGGGCATGGAGGCTGCAGCACTCAGGACCCTGAATGGGGGACACCTTGGACACCCCTGGGGGAAGGCCTGCTCACCAGCGGTCAGATTCCCCGTGTCAGGCTTGTCACTCTTCTTTGGCACAGGTTCCTTGGCCACCACGTCGTACAGGTCTCGCACCTAAGACAGCCCTCTCAGGCTTCAAGGCAGCTGACCACATGCCCTGTGCCCATGGGGGAGGGGGCTGCCTTGGGCAGGCCTGACCCCCTCGCCCCGCAGGGCTGCGACTAGGCAGGACAGGGCTGGCCTAGAGGAAGGGGACTTCCTCAGGAGGCCTAGTGAGGGCACCAGGGAGGTCTTACCTGGTTGGGGGTCACAGCCCGGAGGTTCAGGTTGGGGTAGCGGCTGGCTGGGTCCAGCCCATACTGGGCCACGTTGCGGTGCATGTTTTCCGGGGACGTCTGCGATAGAAGCTGGTATAGGCTCTCACTGAGGGGTGTGGGTGAGGGGTGGTGGCATGAACAGGAGGGCACCCATTAGCACCCGCCCCTGAAGACCCGCCAGCCCTTTCCTGCATTTCCTTTTGCCCACTCACTTATCCTCCCCAGCACCCTTGGCTCCTGTCCCACGGCCCACCCTGCCAGCACTACTCTCTCAGCTCAGGCCTCACCGCTCGGCCAACACCTCTAGGGGCTCAGTGCCCTCTGCCCACCGCTTCACCATCCAGGCTGCATCAAAGGCTGCCAAGAAGCCCCGGGCCACTCCAGTGCCCAGGGGCCAGAAGGGCTGCAGGGTCAGAAGAACAAGAAACAGCTCAGTGAGAATCCAGTGGCAACCTCCCAAGGTCATAAGGGCGTGGGGGGAAATGCTCCCTCTATAGGAAGCTTCCACCTCCACTGAGCAGCCTTCAGTTCCTCCCTCCACAAGAAACCCCATCATCAGGTGGTTTCCCACCCCAGCCCTGGGACAGACCTTGGGACCTCCGGAAGCCCTCACCTCCACCAGGCAGTCCCCAACCAGTCCAAGCAGCAGGCGAGCACCATGCTTCTCTTGTACACGAGCAGAACACTCTGCCCGCATCATGCTTGTGAAATCAAAGGCAGAGACGTCAGGCCGCCCGTGAGCATCCTGAGCAAACTCCAGCTTCCCCAGCTTGCCGTTGGTGGCGAAGTCGGCAGCTGCCCGAGCAAAGCGCTGCAGAGCCTCGGATACCACATTGGCACTTCCCAGCAACCGGTCAGTCTCCAGCCAGTCCTAGGTGGCCAACAGATCAGAGCCTTGGCTGTAGAAGGTGCATCTACTAAAGCTCAGAGCAGCGAAGGGGCTGGCCGGGCCTCACCGGATCAATAGCTGAAGTAAGACCTGACTTCAGCCTGCCTCTGCCACTGCTGCTGGGGCTCCTAGGCTCTGCCCTGCCTATGAATCCCAGTATCACTACTGTCTCACACCTGACCTGAGCTTGTCAGAGCCTCAGCTTAAGTATCATTTAGAAACAACATTCCTGACTTACAAGGTACTTAGGAAAATTAGGGAAAATGCAAAATCAGTTCTCACAGCACTTAGCACACGTTAGCCACCCAACTAGTTCACTAACGCAGCAGATCTGTATTGCTGCTTACTACTTAGTAGGCACCATTCTAGGCATGGGAATTAGCAGCAAGAGGCAAAGACACAAAGATCCCTTTCCTTGTGGAGCTCCTATTTATAGTACTACGGCTGGTATAAGAATACGATTCTCCAAATCCCAGGGGAGTGGGGCTGATAGAAGCAGAGTTAGTGCCAGGGCAGAGGCAGGACAGGATGGGGTCCCGCCACACCCAGGGAGAGACTGTGCAGGCCCAGCTCTCCCTACGTGGGCCCAGGCCCCACCTGGCGGAGCACTCCTAACCGCAGCAGGCATTGCTTCTTGGCTGTCATCACAAAGTAGTGGGTGTCGTCCTTGTAGTACACAATGTTCTCCAGATCAATCCCTGGGGAGACAGAGCAGGGGACAGGAGATGATCCCTGCTCCACTGCTGCATCACCTCTACAAACTCTCCCGCCATCGCTGGGCTCTCAGTAGGCTGCAGTGCTAAGCCATGCACAGAGTCCCAGGAGCCCCTGGTGGCACAAGGGACCATCTGTCCCAGGCCCAGGCGGCCCAAAGGCTTAGAACAAACAGGGAAACACAGATAGGGCGGCAGCTGGGAGACTTGGATACCACATGGTCACATCACAGTAGGAAGCCAAAGTAAGCATAGGATCCTTTTGAAGCGCTACTGTTGCTTTCAGTTGACAGCATTTTTATATTAACACATAAAGGAGTACCAAGCAAACCTCTCAGGTATTCTGTGAGATTTCCAGGATCTCACGTTGGGTGGGCGAGCAGGGCGGTAGTTGCTTGGTCCCTGGGGGGATGGGCCTTTCCGCTTTGCTTGCCAGACCACCAGTATGGGATTCTTTGGATAAAGGGCAGGTCTGGGAGGGAGAGGTGGGAACCAGCACACAGTTAAGCCAGGGGAAGAGCAAGCCAGCCAGGAGGCCTGACCTGTGGCTTTGAGCAGGCTCTGGAAGAATTTCTGGTTGTAGATCCGGGCCACGCCGCTGATCTCGGGCACCTGTGTCTCCTCTACCGTCCGCCGATTCACAAAGTTGGCTGTGATGCCAATGGCCAGTTTGCCCCGCATTTCTCGAACTGTGAAGCCTAGTGGTGGGGATACGTGGGTGTGGCAGGAGGACCAGGAGTATCGCTTCCTGGGCCCGGAAGAGCCCCAGATGCAGGCAGTTTTGATGGGAGGGCTCACTCACCTTCAGGAACGAATTTCCCTCCTGCAGCCGAGATAAGGACATCAAATTCATAGTTGGCCAGTTGGTCTGGGGGATTGGGCTGGAGCTGGGCACACCAGCCACTGCCTGGGGCAGAGGGTATGAGAGTCACAAAGGTGTCGCGCTCAGGGGGGCCATGACTTTTTTCAGGTCAAGCTAGTAACATGATTTAAAATAAATGTGCGAGGGACTCTGGTTTACAAGCAGTGATACGCTCACTATCCATCAGACCATACTTTCATCACAGCCCAGTAAGGCCTGTGAGGAAAGAAACACTGTTACATTTAGCACCTTCCAGCCAAGGCTGAGAAGGACTTAGCAGACTCCCGCCCTGCCCCTTTCCATCCATTGGCCAAGGTCTCCTGTGTGGGAGTGGCTCACAGGAACACAGAGTTACTTACCCTTTCTGGGAGGAGGCTGGAGGCCAGTGAAAGCGACACCCCAATGAATTTCTACCCCCAGCAGCAATGCCACTTTCAGCAGAAGCAGCTGCAGTTGCCGAATGCCTGAAAAGGAGAGGACAGTAAGAACGGGGGAACGTTACAGCCTCCCAAGTACCAGTGTGTGCATGGCCAGAGGGGTACAAGGTCTCAGAGGCCACTCTTCCCACTGCCCACTCTGCAGATGATGGAGCTGGGTATTCAGGGTCACCTGGCAAAGCGAACCTTGTCCACTCTGCCTCTTAGCTGACCCAGCAGCCCGCTACCGGCCTGCCCAGAGCACCCGCCCCTCCAGACCACCACACAGGGCTCACTGATGTGGTCCAGGGTGCCAGTGCAGAAGCGCCCGTAGAACTTCTTGGCACCGAGTGCCCGCAGGTCATGGATGGTGAAGGGCCAGAGGTGCAGGACATTGTGGCGAGAGAACTTGGTGCGCTTTTCCACCAGCACCACTCGGGCCCCCAGCAGGGCCAGCTCCACAGCAGCCCTCAGCCCGCAGGGCCCAGCGCCCACTACCAGGCACTGCAAACACACAAGACAGGGCAGGCATGGCACCGTGTCTCCCTCCTCGGACGCCCCCTGCTCTCCACACTCCCTCCCAGACTCCGGGTGTCCACCTTGGTGCCGGCACAGGCCTGGCCCTGCTGGTACACAGGCTGGCTGGCTCGCTTGTCCAACTTGGCCCACAGCGACTTGGCACTCCAGTAGTTGAGCTGGGCCTTGATCTTCTGGTACTGGAGCAGCCCTCCACCGGGCTCCACCCCCAGAGCACCGCACAGCTCCTGAAAGCTGCTCAGCACATCGCGGCACAGCTGGGCCTGCAGGAAGCTCTCGAAGTGGGCGTGTGCTGGATTGGTGGAGGTGGGAGAAGCCATGGAGGCTCCTCCAGGGTTCCTGGGGAGGGGAGCAGCTGAGTAGAGCCCGCGGCTACTGGAAAGAAAGAGGAAAAAGAAGGGGCGGAGCCTAAGCAGGGAGGAAGGGAAAAGGAAGTGGGGGAGGAGGGAGCAGCCCGGTTTCCCCAAGGAGCTGTGGGTCCACCTCTGACTGGCTCTGTTCCACCTCCCAGCCCACTCCCCTGCCGGCATCTGCTCCGGAGACGGCAGCTACAGTCCAGTTCAAGTGAAATTTGCCAAATTTGGAAATGAAAAATCAGCAGTCCTGGGCACGGGGAAACTGTGTGCGGGGATCCCCGGGGCAGGAACTGTTAGCGTGTCTTCCCCGGCGGTGTGAGGCGAGTTCTCAGATAGGGAGGGCGGACAGCCAGGAGGAAGGTGTGCCTCCCCGAGACAGCCACAGACCTGACAGCGCGACGGCTTGACCCAGAGAGTCTCCCCCGACGCTTCCCTGTGCCGCTGCCCCGTGCTGGCCTCAGTACCACGCTGGGTGTGGAATGTGTCACATGCCAAGGACAAAGTTTTCCTCCTCTCCACTGCTGCCTGCCTCTTGACAGAGGCACACAGTCTCTGCCTGCGCAGGCTCCACTTCCCGCCACCTACGCTCCCCACGCAGACAGCTGGGACCGGCGGTGTGACACAGGCGCCAGTCTATTTCTCACTGCGGTCAACACACTTCCGCAGTGATCTCGCCCTGCTCCGGGGGCCGCAGGAGTGGGGGCGACCGCAGCCCGTTGGCCCCTCCCAGGTTCCTCCCACCCAGCCCAGCCAGCCCAGCCCAGCCCAGCCCAGCTCCGTCCCCTTGCGCCCGCGGCTCGCAATCCCAGGAATCTCCAGAGACAGCGCCTCCCTTGTCCCCGCGCCGCACTCGCCCACACGCAGCCTGCGGGGTGCTGGACAGGGGCTTTGTCCCGCTGCCAGGGAAGGGGCCCGGGCGTGGGGGATGGGCGGCCCGCTGGAGCCGGGAGAGTGGCGCAGCCGTGGGGACGCCCCGGACTGAGGCCCCAGCCCCCGCGGCCCTGCGCTGTCAGCCGGCCTCGCCGAGGAGGAGGTTCCTCTCGGAAAGAGGGGTGCGGGGGCTGAGCTTCCCACAAGGGTGAGAAAAGGGCGACCCAGCCTGGAGACGCGGGACAGAGACTGTGCGGGGGTGCAGAGGCCCAGGGATGCCGCACTGGGCGAGCAGAGGGCTGCGCCGGGCGCGGGGCAAGGTCCCCCGCCACGCTGCTCCAGGAAGCGCCCGCCCCACCCTGCGCCGGGACGGCTTACCTGGGCCCGGCCGGCCACTCCCTGCTAGCGGCGCGGGGCGGCGGAGGACCAGGAGGGGAGGCGCGGGTGTGGGGCGCAGGGCCGCGGGGTGTGGGCTCGGCGCGCCCCGTCCCGCCCGGCTTGTCGGCGCCCTTTAGCGTGTCGCTACCCTGCGGTCCCGCTCTCCCGCTCGGGACAGCCCCGCTCTGCAGGGCGGCGTCTGAGGGCGTGGCTCCCTTCTGCTCTGGGGCTCCGGGCGAGTCAGGCCCAGAGGGGCTGGGGAGCTCGGGGCTTGGGGCGGGGCGCAGTGCCCTGCGCTTACCCGCGGTCCGGGCAGTCCCGGCCCCCTTCCTCGGCGGGAGGGGGAGAAGGCCCCTGCCCCATGCGGTGCCGGCTCGGTGAGCCCCTTCCGAGCCCCGGGCGAGAGCCCGACGCCCCGCCGGAAGTTTGTTGAAGCTGGCGGGTCCAGGGTGGCTCCGGGGCGCCTGCACGCTCTCCACCGTTCTCCCCAGCAGATCCAAAATACGGGCGCCCCACGATGGATCCCAATGCAAGGCAGCCTCCCCTGGGACAGGTCTGCTCCCTTGTCCCGGCAGAGGACAAAGTGCATGGATTAAAGTCCTGGGAACCCAGCAATCCGCGGCTTCCAGCTGGGCAAAAGGGACTGGGAGTCTTAGCAGAAAGGTGGAATGGGGTCGTGGTGGTGGTGGTGGTGGGGTAGGGGATAAGGCTAGGTCTCCACAGTTCAGGAATGCCTTAGAATGAGGACTCCCAAAACCAGCAGTGCTGAAAAGATCCTTGGGATTTACTTCTTCATATTCCCGGTAAGAAAATAGCACACAGGGTGAAACCAGTCGTCCAAAGTCATTCAGTTAAAAAAAAAAAACCCAAACTAGAACTCATCAATTCTCATTTACTGAACACTGAACATTGCCTTGATCTCAATGTCCACGTCGACCGAAAAAGAAACTGAAGGCCACGGAGACCCCATGAGCTGCACAAGTTACACCCCAAGTGCCAGAGCTGATATCCTGCCCGGGTCTACCAGGGCTCGGCCACTCCCATGTTGATCCACCCTGATGGATGAGAGGCTGACATTCTGAGAAGTGTTCCTTGTTTAGAGCAAGAGACACTAACATAACAGGAATAAATGAAGAGACAGAAAAGGTGTGTGTGGGGGTCGTCGTTCTCTTCCCTTTATTCTCACTTTGCATTTTGTCTGGAAGCCTCAGAGTAGGTGAGAACTGACCTGCTCCCAGGGAGAGCTGGAGAAGCAGGCAGGGGAGGAAAGGAGGAGGAAATGCCAGCTCTTTGCCAGGAAAGGCCTAGCAATTCATTGGGTCATGATCAGGAAACTAGGGCAGCCTCCCAGCTGGGCCCATTCTAGCTCCTGAGTGTGACACACCATTTGGCTTATTAACTTACCAGATATCAGGCACACCCATGTTTGAACACATAGTGTAAAAACACTCTCAAGTCCACTATAAATGGCCTACCAGGCTTTTAGAATCAGGTCATTTCCCTGTGTCGGCAGATGGCAGCTACCTGCTCCAACTCAACTGTGTTTGTTTGCAAAGGCAGACAGGGTCTGGCTTGACTCTGACCTTCGGCTGAACCAAATGGGGTTATGCAGCTCTCTCAACAACGAATTTAAAATTTGACTCCAATAAGATCATAGAACAGTAATGTGTTCATCACTGGTAAAAGGCCTACTAACTTGGGAGTGGAGTTTTTGCTGATGCTAATTAAAGTCCTACCCCAGAGCGTAAAGCTGTAGGGCTCCATGGAGCTGGAATCCAGAAAGTCTGGTTGGGTTCCAGCTTTGCTTTGCACTAGGTCTTGCATGACCTTGTCAAATCATGCACTGTATTTCAGTAGTTCATGGTTCAGCCTCTTCATACCATTTCCATTACTGAAATCCTACTATTCAGTGTTGCTGCCCATAAATGTCTGGACTGGCAGACCCAAACCAAGTTTTACTTATAAGAGTTTCTTCAAAGAAGAAAAAGATCATTATTAAAGTGCATTTATTGCTTATCTACAGGCATTTCTCTCTTTAGGGTCTTCAGTCATGGTCCACATTGTGTGCTTTTATACAGAACTAAAAATACTGGCACAATTGCACTGGCCAGTTCATATTGGATCAGAGAAGTGAGAAGTTAGCTTTAAAAGAACTCTGTTCTACTGTTTTTGCAAATAATCACACCAGTGGTGTACATTAAAAACCTGAGACAGGATTCCGTTTCCTCTGTCCTATGTCATTGTATCTTTCTGCAACGCCATCCTTACATCACGTCTCATCTCCTGGCCCTGGAGCCAGAAACTTAGATTCCTAACACTGCAAGTGATATGTCGAAGCCACCAGTATGACCTTGCACCAGCACATCGGTGCCTTCAAACAATGAACCATGGTTTTTGGCCTGGGACAGACTGGCCCAGGGAGACACAGCTCCTGATGTACATGGAACTTTCTACAAAGGTGCAGACAGTGCTTGCAAGATTACTGCAGGGTGGCTTGCTAGAGACTGAAGGGTCAGAGAGGGACTCCCTAATTCGGAGGTGAGTAGTCCTGAGTCAGTGAGGACAGCTTTCAAGGCCGAGAAGCCACCTGCTCCGAAGCCCTCTGGCAGGGAAGAGCTGGGCGTGACTATTGGGCAACAGCCAGGAAGCCAGTGTGGTCAGAATGAGAATGGGGAAGAGGAGCCCTGAGGCAGCTGCACTGTGGACTTTACTCTCCATGCAGTTCGGAGCAGCCATGAGATCCTGCACGCCTTAATAAATGATGCCAGCCTACTCATCTGGCAAGGCATCCTGTTTGGTGCTAAGGGGATGATGGTGCGCTCCAGTGGACAGCTCTCACCTGGATGAAGAATGGGGCGAGAGGGAGCTGGGATATGAGTTGGGATCTTCGGCAGGAGTCCAGGCAAGGCACGCAGTGTCCACTGCAGGCGGGAGAAAGGTCTCTGAGCTCAGTGACGGGTCTTGGTGGGGAATGAGGTCAGCGCATCAAGAACGACTCCAGCTTTCCCTCCCGGCTCAGACTGGATGAATCACACACACATTTCAGCCCTTCACCTTTCTAGTTTTTTGCTCTGATCTTATCCTTCAGTTGCTGCTTTTTACTTAATACATCTTCCAGAGCCAAAGCAGGATCTCAAAGACTCCAAGCCAACATTGGGGGCTCTACCCGGAGAGGCCACACAGATTAAAACCTTAGGTTCAGGTCAGTTTACTTGCTCATACTTTTGTCATGAGACTGCTTTTGTCCTTCAGACATTAAAATTTGGAAGAATTTGTCCAAAAGTTTTTTAAACCTAACAGAAGTTATCTGAGATGGATTTTAAAATGCAGCTTTGAGAAGAGGACATAAAAAGAGGGTGCCTTATATTTATTCATGTGCCATCTCCCCACGGCGAACGTGCTTACTATGCACTGCAATTGTATACTACTAAAATTTTTTAAAGTGCAGTTTTGTTTTTAACTCTAATTTAGCCTAAGGGAACTTCAGTATAACTTTTCATTTAACAAAATAAAAATAAAAATAAAAATAGTATGAGTGGACTAAAGCCAAGAGCCCAACTAGTCTTTTGGAAACTCATTTTCAAATTCACATTTAGGGTGATATATGATGGATATTAAGAATTCAAAGATGGGCATGGTGGTACACACCTATAATCCCAGCACTTGGGAGGCTGAAGCAGGAAAATCTCAAATTTGAGTCTAACTTGGTTAAAAGGTGAGGCCCTGTTTTACAAAACAAAAAACTGTGGTATTACTTATAACACAAATCTGCTCTAAACTTAAAATTTTCTGTTTTACTGAGCCCTTGAAAAAAAGAGGTCATTCTGATAAGCTCAGCTAAGGCACTTTCACCTTGGTAAACTTTGATTATGCTTCACGTCAATCAGTAGTAAACACTAATTCAAGTACTAGTAAAACGGCCCACTCTGGAGGCTGTCGCGTTCACCTGTTTCATGTTAAAGAGTTTGACTGTATGCTGACACTTCAGACACAGACGTTCACCTCTAGTCTCCAGCCATGTGCTGGAAGCAGCAGTGAGCTCAGTCAAGCTCATGCCCCAGTTCTGGCTCTGCCAGTCACATCACCTTGAGCAAAAGACATCATCTGTGTGGGCCTCAATGTTCTCATCTTTAAAATGGGCATAATCATAATAATTGTACCTACTTCACAGAGATGCCAGGAAAATTAAGACCTGCTTCAGTGAGTGACAGGTGTGTCCTCGCTGGGTTCCCCTCCTTCCTCCAGATGATGAGTGTTCTGGGCTGAATCACTGCCTCTGTCCCCATTCATGTGGAAGTCCTAATCCTACCACCTCAGCATCGAGTTATATTTGGAGACAGGGCCTTTGAAGAGGTAATTAAGTTACAAATAAAGTCATCCTTACAAAATGAGGCCACGAGACAGGCCAGGAGAAGGGTGTGCAGCACACAGACGGAAGACAGCCAGCTGTGAGCCCAGCAGAGGCCTCAGGAAAACCCAGCCCTGCAGAACACCGCTCTCACATTTCTAACTTATGGAATTGTAAGGAAAGAAATTTCTGTTTAAAGTCCCTTGCCTGTGCTACTGTCACAGCCACCCAAGCAACTACTACATTATGGCCAGGGGACAGCAGAGTCCTCTGGCCACAGGGTACCCTAAACTTGCTGTGTGCCAGGCAGGATGGGGAGAAGGTCTGAGAATCACGAACACAGAATGCGCACCTAACACACAGCTTCACTCCGGGCCTAAGGACTCCAGGACAGCCGGCTTGGTGGTGCACGCCTACAACCCCAGCTCCTCAGGACGCTCAGGAAGGAGGGCTGCAAATCTGAGACCAGCTTGAGCAACTCAGTAAAACCTCATTAAAAAAAAAAGCCTCCACTTGTAGCGGTTTCACACCTTAATTTATGCAAACTAGAATGTAAGCATCTATATGAGAATCTCTTTATTCTTCAGCATCAATGAACATGTTGCTGACAACATAAAAACCAACTATAGAAAATACAGTTTAAATGTAAAATAGTTGGGCATATGTTGTAAGCCTGTAATCCCAGCACTTGGGAGGCTGAGGCAGGATCACTGAGTTCTAGGCCACCCTGTGCTACATTGCAAGACCTTGCCTCCAAAAAAAAAAGTAAAAAGAATACTTTCAAGAAACTCTGGGCAAGCACGTGAATAATTTGTTTTCATGATGGGAGCTTGACAGGGACAAGCTTCTAAGAGAAAACCAAACATGTACCTTCAAAGCAATTTGCATCTTGGTAGCTCAAAGGCATGCTGTATTTCCTACAAAATACGCTTCATATTTCTGTGCTTGTTAAAAAGAATTTCTGCCAGGTGTGGTGGTGCACACCTATAATCCCAGCACTTGGGAGGCTGGGGTAAGAGGATCGCCACAAGTCTGAGGCCAGCCTGGGCCCATCTCAAAATAAAACCAAAACCAAAATAGAATTTTTAAGATTGTCAATTGTGCAAAATGAACTGTGAAGCACTGCACTAGCCTTAGGGCATCTCAAAGACCTAATGAAAGCATCTTTATGTTTATTCATTTCCTTTGGGAATAGACGTCCCTGAACTTTAAAGGGCTCTCCTCCAAGGGGCACAGAGGGAGGCCAGAATGGCAACACTACTGCTTGCTTGCTCTGCTCCAATGACCAGTCAGACCAAGTGACGGCTGTGACCAGAGGTCAAGCTAGAAGCAGGAGGCTGGTGCCGTCCACCGCGGGAGCCACTCAGCCCGCTTGCTACCCCACACCTGTGATGTGGGAGTGCAACCCAGCAACTGGACTTTACCTTTCACTAATTTAAAAGTGAAAAACTGGTAACTCTCGGACTGCGGTGGCCCCAATCACGCTCATCTCAATCTCCTTTTATTAGAACAAGAACGTAACTAAAACCAGCAGGAGAAATTCATTATCCCTTTCCAATTCTGCCTCTCAGCTGATGGTGACAATCCTCAGGCGAGCCTCCCACACCCAGCAGCACGTTCGCTCAGTTCAGGGGATCATAAGCTGACCATCAGTAATCAACCCATTAGCAATCACAATCCCTTCCCCACATTCTAGTTATTAAAAAATTTATACCTGAGCTATCTGCAACCTAAATCTACATGTTCAACTGTAAATTGTACAAAATCTAAATACAGATGAGCACTAGCATACAAATTTGAGATGTGCAATAAGTGTAAAATACATACCAGATTTTGAAGACATCATATGAAAAAGATGTAAAATATCGTCAATGCATTTGCATTACATGTTGAGATATTTGGGAAACACTGTACTGGAGTAAGTAAACTTAAAATTAATTTCACCAGCTTTCTGTATTTTTAAATGTAGCTACTGGAAAATTAAAATTATCAATGTGGCTCAAGTTGCTATTTCTTCAGCAGCAGGCTGTTATAAAGATGCTTAAACTTACCCTATAGCCATATACGTCAAGTACAGGGACACATGGCTATAGTCCCAGCCACTCCAGAGGCTGAGGCAAGATGACCACTTGAGGCCAGGAGGTAGACATCAGTTTGGTTAACACAGAGACACAACTGTCAAAGACAAGGAGCCGGGTGTGGTGGTGCACACCTGTAATCCCAGCACTTGGGAGGCTGAGGCAGGAGGACTGCTGCAGGTTCTAAGGTCAGTCTGGACTACACAGCAAGTACCTGCCACAAAACAAAACAAAACAAAACAAAACAAAACAAAACAAAACAAAACACAAAACAGAACAGAACAAAACAAAACAAACAAAACAAAACAAAATAACCCTGAAAGAAATAGAAAGACAGAAGGACAGAAAAGAAAAAGGGAAAAAAAGAACAAAGAAAAGGCAGGCAGGCAGGAAGGAAATAAAATAACACTTTATGGGATGGGAGTTGTAGCACAGCAGTAAAACTCAGGCTGAGCATGTACAAGGCCTTGGACTCGATCTCTAGTATCAAAATAAATAGCCATACAACCATGCTTTCTGAATAATTACCTAACTATCTAAAGGGAGTAAAAATTCACTTATACTACGTATTTCCTGGGGAAAAAATGTTGATCAGGACGCTTTGAAAAGCTGGTAAGAACTTCGGTTCTAAGAATAACATTAGGGGCTGAGAGTATGCCTAGGATGTGTGAGGGGCTGGGTCTGATCCCCAGCACTGCAAAAAAACTTACCAAAAAAAAAAAAAAACAAAAAACAGACTAAAGTTAAATAATTTCATAACTAAATTTGTAATCCCAGCACTCGGGAGGCTGAGGCGGGAGGATTGTTGTGAGTTCGAGACCAACCTGGGCTACAAAGTGAGCTCAAGGCCAGCCTGAACTGCATAGCAAGACCCTGCCTCAAAAAGACAAAAAAAAAAAAAAAAACAAGAAACAAAAATAAATTAAGAACCTACATAATATCAAGATATAACAGTATCTATAAAGAGTACAGCTTTGTTCCAATAGGCCTGATTTAATATCACTTCATTTGACACATGTAAAAGATATATTATTTTGGAAATTTTGTGAATTACATGTAGTAAAATATAACTGGGCAAAATACACAATATACAAATACAAAAATATTTTCATCTTCTCAAGTTTCAATTATTTTAACTTCTGAAGTATGCCTAGGATGTGTGAGGGGCTGGGTTTAGGGGGGATTTAGGGGGGAAATAAAAGATGTTTAAAAGAAGAAAACAACTGATGTGAAGATTCTACTAATGTTAAACCTGCTTTCCAGAACCGCTACCTTAACTTTCACACACTGGGAACCCCCTTCTCAAAAGTATCTCCCAGTTTACAAGAGAAAAACGGCCAAAGAATTCAATTAATTATAGTGAACCTGACAACCTAACCCAAATCTAATTTAATATTTTGACAATTATTTTTTAAATTTCATGACTATAGATACATGTTGGCCATTAAGTCTCTGAGGCTTAAAATTATTTTTAAGCTTAAAAAGGATATTTACTTTTACAAATGATGTATCAATTTGTGGGATTTGACAATCTAACATAAAAATACAGTGTATGTCTCCACATCCAGAAAGTTATCAGACCCAAGACACAGATCAGTATCTTCAGAGACCAACTAGAATTATGTAGAGTATATTTAACACTTTACATTAAATACAATTTTATGTCCCAAGATAATTAAGAAGCCTTTAACTTCATTGTGAAATTCAAGTATCATTTCTGACAAAACTTAGAGTTTATCTGGAGTGAATGTTTTGATCCCATTTCACATTTTAATACTTAATTAAAAATTTAATAGCCTATTAAAATAGGTAAATCAGGTTTTACAGGAAACATGAATTCATATTTTTTAATAAAGCATACTTCTGCCTTTCCTGCTACATGATTTCTGAATTATGAATATATTTTTATCTGAGTTTGAATCTCCCTTCAATGAGACACTATAGTGCCGCACAAAGATTCAGTGTCAAGTTACTCTGTCCTAGGGGACTGGAAGTTATTAAAAGGACAAATTCCCTCAACTCAGTTCTGCCTTCTCTGCAGTGGCCTTGGAGAAAGAAAGAAGGGGAACAGACCACCCCACCCAATGCAACCTACAGGACTTCCTCTGTCCTAAATAGAACATGTGGTCAGCAAGACCACACCTATGGCTGTGAACATTAAATGCTCACAGAAAAGTCTCAGACAATGACCCCAAAGAAAAACTGTCCAGTAAGAAACCTGGCAGATGATGAAGTGCTGAATACACATCAGGGTTACGGGTCAGACCCGCACGCCCGCCCGCTGCTGCTCGGATACAGCAAGTTGCAGCTCTCTTCTGGCCAGCGCCTCTCTCCAGAGTGCTGTCATCCAGCATCTCAGACAAGGTGCGCGCTCACCACCTGGTTACAGCCGGCTTATGGGCTGGGCCCAGGGAGCAGCCACCGCGCACGCAGGTCAGCTCTGCCCCTGGCTTAGTGGTGAGGGCCGGGCCCCATGGTCAGCCGGAGATGGCGGCTCAGGCTCCTGCGTCAGCGCCAGGTGCTGAGCCGGGTCTGAAGTACTTGCTGCTAAGTGGAGCCCCCCTGCTTGCTCCTGATGGGCGTGAAGACGTTCCAGGGTCTCCTTGGACAGCGTGATGACGTGCACGGGCTCCGTCTGCGAGGGCTCCATCTGGCTTTCGATCATATTGAGGTTCTGAATGTGCTCAGTTTGCTCCTGCTGAGCTGAAAGAATTAAATTCTGCAGTTGCTCTGGCTGCTGTGTGAGCAGAGTGAGGTTAGCAGCCTGGTCTGCGGTCATGTTCTGGGAGCTCTCCGCGGCCACAATGCTGATACCCTGGTTAGGACCCGGCATAAAATTGATGTTGTGTACAGAATCGGTCACCAGAAGTTGAATCTCCTGCTCGCCCGAGGTAGAGAGCTGGTAGGGCTGGAGCTGAAGAATATTCCTGACCTCTTCGGTGTTACTACTGCTGGAAACACTGCTGGCTTCCGGTGTGTGCTTCTCTTTGCTGTGGATTTTCAGGTGAGCCTTCAAGTTGTCTAAGCGAGCAAACTGTAAGCTACACTCAGAGCAAGAGAAAGGCTTTTTGCCTGTGTGGAGAATGCAGTGCCTCCTCTTGGCACTGGAGTCAGAAAAGGACTTGCCACATATGCTGCAGGAGTATGGCTTTTCTCCCCTACAAGAAAATACACATTTTATTTTAAACACAGAAGCCAGACGTGCTGATGCATACCTGTAATCCCAGTATTCTGGGAGGCTGAGGCAGGAGGACCAAAAGTTTCAGCGGAGTCTGAATGACCTGGCAATGTAGCAAGACCCTATCTATCTCAGAATAAGACAAAAAAAGAGGGCCGGAGATGTAGCTTATTGCAAAAGCCCTGAGTTCAATACCCACTACTGCAAAAGCAAACAAACAGAAACCAGAAATACCTATTTATTACTTCCCATTTGTCTGAGGAGAAGCAGTCAAGAATAGAGTAAGTGCTAATTCAAATTAGACTGGACTGTGGTCAGAGTCACAGGTCCTGCTAACTTCTGGACTGACGGTGAGTCATACTTCATGGGCTTCAGTTTCTACTTATAAAAAATAAAATAAAGAAAGGGGAGGAGTAGTGTTTGAGAAAGGACAGCAGTTGGGGTTCAGCTATATATGATAAAATTTTATGATTCCATGGACTGTATTCCAGATAAAAAAGTAAATATTTACACACTAAATATATAGTTCTTTTTAGTTTTAGTTCTTACAGCCGATTTTTAGACTCAAATGGACAAATAAACATATATGATTAATATAAATAAACATTAAAAATTTGTGAAGTTGTTAGAAATACACCTAAATCCAAGCTGAGAGACATCTTTGTGGATACAATGTTCATTCTGAAAATATTAAATTTAATGCCTTTTATTGGGTCTTGCTATAGTTCAGGCTGGCCTTGAACTTGACATGTAGCTCAGGCTAGCCTGAAACTAGTAACCCTCCTGCCTCAGCCTCCTAACTGCTAGAATTACTAGCATCTGTCACTTAATGGCTATTTTTGATTGAAGATTTAAGCTTTGGGCCAGCCCCCAACACAAAATGAAAATTCAATAAATGAAATTAACAACATGCATTCTTACTGGCCAGAATCAGTTCTGTGAATTCTGTGTAAGAAATTTTATTACTGAAAAAATAAAATAAATGACATAGAAAAGTATACCAGAGTAACACTTTAGGTAAAAAGAGTACATGGGTAACAGGTCACCCCAGCGCACACCCAGAGGTAAAGGCGGCGTCCACAACACTGAAATGTTTGCAAAACGTACCGATGAATTCTGATGTGCGTCTGAAGAGAACTCTTTGCTGTGAAAGATTTGCCACAAATTTCACAAGTAAATGGCTTTTCACCTTAAAAAAAAAAAAGGAAAGTGCTCAGAAATATACATTTGGAAACAAACAAACGAGGCAGCCACTCTGCACCTCCCCACAGCGTGAGGAGCCCGGAGGTGATGGGGAAGGTGAGGGTCTCTCCCTTCCACTGACTGTACCTGTCTATGAATCGGGAAATGAACCCAGGGCCTTTGCACTAAGCTACAGCCACGTTCTTTTTTGTGGAGACAGGGTCTTACTAAGTAAGTCATTAAGTTCCCTAGGCTGTGCTTGAACTTGTGATCCTTGTGCCTCTGCCTCCCACAGCGTGTGGATTATAAGCATGCGTCACGGTGCCCGGCTTCCCTTAAACTCTTAAAGACTGAACTAAGAAACAAAGGAACTCAATATATCCCCTCCCGCACATTCCACATTCAGGCGTGACAGGGACTTGTGCACTCCTCCCTTACCACCTGGTAGTTGGCTCACTTGACCTGGTAGGACTCCGATGCGCTGGGAAGATGATGTACCACTCACATGTATCTTCCAAAAATACCCAGACTCTGACCACTTTTCGCTACCCGCTTGCCCTGGTTTACACCACCACCACCTTCCCTCCTGGACGTTGGCAGCTGCCCCGAGGCCCTCTTGCTTCTCTGCCATCCACTGTCAACGTGGCAATCAGAGCAGTCCTGGTATAGTCAGGTCACTCCACACTGCGGCCTCAAATGCTGATGGCTCCTCGGCCCGACTACAGTCCGAGCTCTGGGCTACAAAGGGTCACAGACCCTCTGACTCACTCACCTCATCTCCTGGTCTCCGCTCACAGGCTGCGAGCGACTGTTACAGCGAGGCTGTGCCACCTCCCCACCAGAAACCCACTCCAGGGACACCGCAGCATTCCATTCCCCAGGGCTCCACCCCTCAGCTGTTGCCATCAGATGCTGAGTTTCTTTCTTTTTTTTTGACACAGGTCTTACTATGTCTACACCCCTCAAATGGGCGGGGTCAGCTGTTTCTTTTTTGTTTTGGAAAGAGGATTTTGCTATGTAGCCCAGGGTGGCCTTGAACTTCTGACAGTTCTTATGCCTCAGCCTCCCCAGTGCTGGGATTACAGGGTGCACCACCATTCCCAGCCTAATCAGCTGGTAAACTTGTATTTTTTTTTTGTCAGCACTGGGGAGTGAACCCACGGTCTCACACATACCAGGCAAGCTGTCTACCACTGAGCTACATCCCCCAGCACCTGAAGTTTCTAGCACATGGATTAGGGGGCCATGTTCATACTACAGTACTGACAAAGGTCTTCCAACTCCATGGTGTTTGATTTGTTCCTGTGTACAGGAACCTTCCATTGAGTTACCTGTTTCTGTTTAAGTTTAATCAGTTCTGAAACATGCACGGATGATCAACCAAGTACAGAGGTAAGAAACGGAAAAGCAAAGGCATGCTGCGCCTCAAAAGAGGAGGCATGGCCTACTTGAGAGACAAGTAGTGCTGTGCTCCACTGAGGGTCCGGAGTGACAGCAACACCACTAGTGTGGCAGGAGGGTGAAGCGCAGGAGGCAGGACCAAGCCCGACTGGAGAGGAACCTGGACCAGGCACTGCTACAAGCAGCACGCCCCAAAGGCCTGCGTTGGAAATGCCCACATACCACAGCCCTGGAGGGGCGGGGATGTGCTGTGGGCCACGGTGGAAATCTAAGATGAGGCCACACCTCCAAGAGCTATTTGGGGAGCAACTGAGCTGGAGATTGATCATATGTGTGGGGCTACAGCAAGGCCAGCCTTGAGAACATGGGGTGCCTGAGACGAGCCAGATAGACAAACTGTTAGGCAGAGGGGTTTCACCTGATGTCAACCTGCTGTGTATAATAAATGTGCTGCAGGGTGGCTCCTTTGCTCCCACAGGAGAGGGGGCTCCACCTGACCTCAGCTTTGTTTACTCTTTATGTATCCTTGTTTCTTCATCCTCCACCGTTCTCCCGCCGGGGAGTTTCAAGAGCTGTGCTGGATGCAGCACCCAAATGTATAAGAGCGAGCCTGGGACAGAGGGGACAATGGGCTGAGGCCAGCGCTCCTGCAACAGTGCACACACAAGGTGCTAAGGCCTGCACAGGAGGTGGCAGGAGGCAGATGGACAGTGGGAAAGATGACAGGACCAGCATGCCGTCTGTTACAGGAGAAGTAGACAGCAGAGATTAAGGGAAGGACAGAGGCTCTCCCACTGTGGTGCTCAGGGTATCCTGGGACCTCTCCTCAGTCCACACCCTCCCCCACGACCTGCCCCTTTGAAAATCCAGGCCTGTGCTCCTGCTGATTTAGCAGTACAGCGAGTGGAAGGCTTTGCTCTCCATCAGCTTAAACCTGCAGTGGCTGTCTTGGTGATGGTAGCAGCATTCGAGCAGTCTGCCCCGATACAAGCCTCCAGCTCTGATCAGTCCCATGTACTTTCATACCAAAGAACCCTGCCCTCTACTGCAGGACACAGCTTTGTCTTTCTTAAAAAATGACTCAATGTTCCTTATAAATGTAAGAAACACTGAAAAGCATAAAGAATGTATCCACTGTTCCCAGTCTCCTAAGCTAACTTCCTGACACTGTGATGAGCACCTTTACAGACAGCAGCCTGTGCGCCCTGGAGTGTGCAGCTCACACAAGAGCACCAGTGCATGCTGCTGTTGTGTCACGCCACGTCACCATCTCAAAGGCTGTGCTGTGGGCACTGTGGCGTAAGCCTGTAAGCCCAGCGCTCAGGAGGCTGAGACAGGAGTGCTGTGAGTTTGAGGCCAGCCTGGGCTACACAGTGAGTTCAAGGCCAGCCTGAAATACATAGCGTAAGAACCTATCTTGGAAAAAAAAAAAAAAAAAGGCCATGCTGTGTCCCATCATGTGATTGACTACAACTTACCAGTCAAATCCCTTACCAAAGGACATTTAGCTTGTTTCTATTATAATCAGTCCTACCTGTGATAAATGGCCTTATATAGACATCTTTCCCCAAATGGAGAGTCGATAAATACTGTCAAAGTTTCGCCCTATATAATGTAATTTCCATATTATGTTGCCATCAACAGTACATAACAATGTCGGTTTCCTCACGTTCGCCAATCTAGCGGACAAAAACTATACACACTCTTTGATGACCAACGCTGTTGCCATGGCTTTATAGCTACCTGCCGTTCCTATGCTGTCTTCTGTGGAGCGCTTTTCGCGTCTCCTGCCAGGTTTCCTGCCGGGGCACACTTTCTCTCATTTGGGGTATTAGTACTCTGTCACACATGCAGCAACTACATCCCCTCCCACCTCAGATGAAAAATCTGAATACACCTCTTCACTCCATGCTCTTGACCTATGGCCTTCTCTCTTCCATAAAGGGGCGCTAAGGGGCATATCCCAGGTCCCGCCCTCTCTGCTCATCCTTCTAGGCATGGCCCGAGACCTTTGTACGACACAGATCAAAACATCTCTCTCCTTGCCCGAACGTGGGGCCTGCCTCTATGGTGCCTGCCCTGCTGTCCCGCAGCCCGGGCCACCTGTCTCCGGCAGTTCTCAATGTGTTCTTTGGATGCTGGGCCACATTCCCTCAAGCTCTGCACTCCCTTCTCCCGTCCAGGTCGCCTCCTCTGGCTTCCAGTGTCAGCCAGCATGTGCTCGGGCTTCCTGATCAGCTCTGTCCTCTAAATGCTTTCCCAGACCTTCTGGGGAAAAAGACCCACGCCCTTTCTTTGGCTCCATCCCGAACTTCTTGGGTTGGCATGTGGACTCTGTAAGGAAGGCTGTGGTGAGGGGCCCCAGACCTCAGAGAGATGGGGACAAGGTGAGTGGATCGGCTCCCTGGGGCGCTCGTGGGTCCCACACACTATTTACAGGCTCACGTGTAAGGTTTACAGCTCTCTCAGCACCTCCCGAACTCCACGCTCCACAGCCAGCTGCTCACTCCACATCTGCACCTGGGGCCAAAACAGCCCCCGACCAAGTGCCAAAATCTCTCCCTGAATTTGCTCCCCAGATTTTCCCCCTTCCAGTTGCTTTGCCTCCGCCTTCCCACCCTCACACCTGATCAGGAGCAAACCACACCGACTTCCTGGAGTGTGCTCAGAACTAGCCCATCTGCCACCATTCCCACCACCGCCGCAAGGTGACAAACCCTTGTCAGGGCAACAGCCTCCTGACGCGTCCCAGCTCCAGCCCTCCTTATCCCCGCCCACCCGGCTGGGACTGAAACAGTCACATCACGTCCCTCCTCTCGGTAAAGCCACCCCTCACCCAGAATACCCAAGAGTCTCACTGTGGCTCCAAGTGCTTAAGTCTGCATCCACCTGAAAACTGCAGAGGGGTAGGGTTTTTTTGAGACAGGGCCTCGCTATGTGCCACACCTGGCACAGAGGGTTACTTCTGAGGCATTACCCAGGCTGTGGAGCCAGAACCCCTGTGGTTGGAACACAGTTTTTTGGGTAAAGTTTGTGTCTAAAAGTGAGAACTGAGCTGGGCGCTGTGGTACAGGCCTGTAAACCCAGCACTTGGGAGGCTGACGCAGGAGGATCACCATGAGTTCAAGGCCAATCTGAACTACACAGTGAGACCCTGTCTCAAAAAAGCCAAAAACAAACAAATAAACAACAAAAAACTCAAACCAAAACAAAAGAAGAAGTGAGAACCCTTGCATGACATGTACAACAGCTGTCCCTGAAATCCACTACCACCACCTCCTCCTACTGCCGGCACCCGTTCTGCTGTGACCACAGCTGCCTCCTGGTGCTTGTCCAGCAGGTCAGATGCCCCCACCACCGGACATCCACAATGACTGGCTCTGCCCGCACCACACGCTGATCTCCATCCAAAGCACCACACGCCTGTGTCACTTTCCCAGCATGGTCCCAACATAAAAGAGCAGCTCGAGTTCCGCACCGTTTCCTCACCTGCACTTCACTGCTTCCTGGCCCTCCCCACACCTACCATGTTACACACTGGCTTATTCTGCCTCCCTGCTCACATGCTGCCCCTCACTGGCAGAGACTGCCCCTCACTCACTGCTGCGACCGGGACCTGGTCCCCAGTATCTGCTCAGGAAACACACTCAGTGGGTAAAGTCCACAGAACCTATTAGTGCGAATGTCTATAGCAGTACTCTAGAGAAACTGTTTCCATGAAATTCATTCCCTCTGGGATAATTTAAGAAAAACTGGTACAGGTCGAGCGTCCACTATCCAAAATACTATAGGACCAGAAGTGTTTCCGATTTTGGACATTTAAAAAAATTTTGGAATATTTGCAATATACACAAGGTATCTTGGGGATGGGATCCAAGTCTAAACACAAAATTCATTCATATTCACATAAACCAGATCCACGAAGCCTGAAGGTGATTTACACAATGTTTCTAGTACATCTGAGTTTTGACTGTGAGGAACCACACAAGGCCAGGTGTGCAATTCCCCACCTGTGGTGTCATGGCAGCACTCAAATTCCCTGGATTTCTGGATTAGAGATACACAACCTGCATTTAAAACACGAAGTGCAAAGCACCCTAAACCCTTTTATATGAAGTTCTATGGACTACTTAACAAAATCATTAATCAAACTACAATGGAAAGTTCTTCTCGGAAAGTAACAGCTTACTTATAACACGCATTCCTTCCCAAAAGATGCAGGATGATCATGGTTTTAGTTTTCTGATCTTAAGTGAAAACACATCACATGTCCTAACCAATTCTGCCCCTCCTTTAACGCCGCGGCTGGTTTTTCTGGAGGTGATGATGGTTAGGTGGTAGCTGCTGGTTCTAAGGGAAAACACGGGGAATTCTGAGTGTCTATGCTGCCTTCGGTCTTCACCCTTTTACTCTGTCATCTCCAGCGCTGAGGTAAATGGAAAGTACAGTACAAAATCAGACTTAGACTCCTACTATTCCGTGGCACTAAATGAATTTTCCTACATGAACATCGGTCAGCGAGTGACCTATTTTGCTTGCTTACGGAGAGATGTGACATCCCCACAGAGCAGCGCTCACCACATTAGCTCTTGGGCTTCCCAATGGTCTCCTTGTATGACTCGAACTCTATTTACAATGAGCACTCTCAAACACAGGCTGAGCAGGGTCTCAGCGCATTCCCGGGCTGCAAACATCACGTGTGCTAGGAAGGGGGCCAGAGGGTGCGTTCGTTACCTGTGTGTGTTCGGAGGTGTTTCTTTAGCTGAGACACATCCATGAATTTGCGATGGCAGTGGTTACATTCCGGTAATGAGTGGCCTTGTCGCAACAATAAAAAAAGTGTCAGTGCATATATGCTCTCCCTGCATTTCTTCAGTGATTTGTGTTAAAGCACTTCCCTGAAAAATAATCACTTTAAATATGGTACTTTAACAACAACACAATGCTTTTATCAATTTGGTAACAGCTGCCATTCCCTAATGTACCTCAGCTCACTGCCTCCCTGACAGAGCTGGGACCCTCCCGGTCACAACAGATGGAGCCCTCGCCCTGAAGTGTGGGTGTGAGCGGCCAGCTGATCTCAAAGGAGGTGTGCCCCGCGTCCTTTCACTCCCTGTTTGTATGACAGGAAGGAGAGAAGGACGTGGGGTCGGCCAGGCTGGAGAATGGCCCAGACTGATCACTGTGGAGATGGTGCCTCTCTCTAGGCACCAGGGCTGACCAACCCAACAAAGCCCTCTTGCACAAGTGGTGCTTTTTAAAGGTACCAATTCTGCAGGGTTCTAAGTGTAGTACCAAAACTATGGTACAAAAATTTAAGTCACATGGTAGTGCAGAACATGACGACCTCTCATTCACATGACTTTAAGAATATTTTCCCAAAATATCCATTTATCATCTAGAATATGAACCTGATTCCTTAGAAACAATTCATACTTGCATCTCTTCCCACCAATCCAAAGCTCCTCTCACTTTATGGGCACTGTACCTGTATGAACTCGGTAATGGCTCTTTAGTTGTCTTTTCTGGCTGAAATATTTTCCACATTGATCACAGGTAAAAGATTTCTGTCCTGGCAAATTAAAAAAACAGAATATTTAAACCATGCAAATAACTGTAGAGATCTAGACTGATCACTACAGAGGCAAATAACAGAGTGGGGCCAGATACCCCCTTTCTACAAAGGATACAGGTGGCTCTCCATATACTCGAGCACCTTCAGTCAAGAGCAGACACACCAATGTACTGAAGGTATACGTAAGGCAGCAGGGCTGCGGGAACCAGGCTAGAACTGGAGAATTCGTCTCCCCCAGAGGCACTCAAAACCCCTGCGAACTCTGGTAGTTAAACGAAGAACCTCTGCACACTGACTTCCCAGGGGGCAGTTCATAAGCGTGAGTTCAAAGCTCAGTGCTGTGTACAACCTGAAGTGAACTCTGACAGTGGCACAGATCTGTCTTTCAATGAAATGACCCTAGGCTAGGAAAACACTCTTTAGATCCCAGAAATGCCCACCCTGCAGAGTGCGGCGCCGGGGACAGGAGCCCTGTGGTGCAGCCCAGCTACCTGAGTGCAGGCTCATGTGCTCCAGCAGCGAGTGCTTGGTGGTCAGAGCCTTGCTGCACACCGTGCAGGTGTACGGCCGCTCGCCCGTGTGCATCCTGGTGTGGACCTGCAAGGAGTGCTTCTGGGCAAAGCCTTTTCCACACTCATTACACTTGAAGGGTCGCTCCCCTAGAATGAGAGGTCCAGAAGCAGGGTGTGAGCACAAATAAGAACAACAAGAAAAGAATTTATCTTAAAGGGCCCACAGCAAAAGGTCAAGGACTAGGAGGAGAGACTATCAGCAATAAAAATTTGGGAGCTGAAACAGATTAATCCAAGGCCAGCAGTGAGGAACAATGAGATAGATTACAATCTAATTTCTAAGACAGAGCCTCCAAAAGGCTCAGGAATTGGTGGCAGCCACCACCTTAAACACAGGAGAAAAACAGTTTGTTTCAAAGGTAGGAAGAGCCCCAGAACCAGCCCCTTACTCCACACGGCCAAGGGGCTGGCCCTCTCCACACAGAAGGTGATTATTCTCCAGAGAGGGTAAAAGAAAGGGTCTCTGGATTTGGGGCTGCCAGGCACAATGAGTAGGTCTATTCTACGGGGACACGGTCAAAGTCTACATTTGGTACAAGACTGTCTCTTCCACTCAGACGCTGGGGCCAGGCCTGTTGCCTCCAGGCAGAAGACCAGAAGCACATTTCCTGGAAGGTGATGGACATATGCAGGAGAGCTGCAGATGCCCACCCAGGCAACAGTAAGGAAGTGGGGTGCAGCCTCAACTCCTCCAATGAGGCCACTGTTTCACAGGCTCTCATACTCTCAGGGCTGTCTATAGCTTTCAGTAACACACTCTTACATATGATCAAATATGCCTTTTTAAAAAACATCATCATTCTAGGCCAGGTGTGGTGGCGCACACCTGTAATCCCAGCACTTTAGAGACTGAGGCAGGAAGATCACTGTGAGTTTGAGGCCAGCCTGGACTACACAGCCAGGCCCTGTCTCAAGAAAAAGAAAAGAAAAGAAAAGAAAAAAAACCCATCAGCACTCAAGGAAAATGTTTAATAGTAGTAGTAATATACCAAGAGAAGTAAGAAGAGAAAAAGCAATGAGCAGAAAAGAGATACTTCCCAGAATGAAGAAGTAATTGCTATCATTAACATTCTCACACAAGACATTACACTATAAAACAAAAAAGCTGGCCAACGCCAGGTGTGGTGGTGCACACCTGTAATCCCAGCACTTGGGAGGCAGAGGCAGGAGGATCCTGTGAGTTCAAGACGAGCCTGCACTACATAGCTAGACCGTCTCAAAAAACAAAACAAAACAAAAAAGGCACAGTGGCACATGCTTATAATCCCAGCCCTAGCAGCTTTAACACAGGAGGATCAAAACTCTGGGGAATTGAGACTGTGCCTCAAAAAACAAAACAAAACTAAAAAGATAAAGCAGGAATCTGCCAGGAAGTACAGCAAACAATAATGGAAAATATGAATAAAAAGATAAAGAACTTAGAGGTGGGGTCTACGAGGTTCAACATCCAAACAGCAGGAGCTCTGGAAAGGAAGAACACAGAACACAGATGGGAAGAAATCTCCTATGAAATAATTCAAGAAAATTTTCAGGAACTGATCAGTAGGAGCTTCCAACCTGTTTGGATCTATCTGGTATTGGTCAAATGGAAGAAAATGGACAACATGACTTGAAATTTTAGCCAGAGTAATTAGTCAAGAGAAAGAAAGAAAAAAAGGCAGACAAACATGAAAGAAGACAAATTACTCCTATCTGTAAATAATATGATTCAATACACAGAAAATCCTAGACTCCACCAAAAGACTTTTAGAGCTAATAAACTAATTCAGTAATGTAGCAGGACACCAAATCAAACCATACATAAAAATGAGAAGCATTTCTATTCATCAATAATGAATTCACTGAGAAAGAAGCCAGAAAAATAATTCTATTCACACTACCCATCCCTCCAAATAAACCTGTCTGAAGATGTGAAAGGCCTCTACAGTGCAGAGTGCTAAACTCTGGGCTCTGAGGTAGCATGCACAATGCCTGGTTCAATCCCCAGTACCACAGACAAACCCCCAAAAACAAAAACATAGAAAGGAAAAGAAAAAAGAAAATGATCAAACACGAAAGAAAGAAATTGAAGACGACTCCTGAAGGTGAAATGATCTTCCAAGTTTACGGACTAAGAGAATTAATACTGGTAAAATGGCCATACTACCCAAAGTCATCTATAGAGCCAATGCAATCCCCACCAAAACACCAGTATCATTTTTCCCAGAACTAGAAAAAAAAAATCCTAAAATTCACATGGAAGCACATAGACTTCCAAATAGCCAAAACAATCCTAAACTGGAGGCACCACAGTACTGAATTTTGAAACATAATACAGGGGCTGGGGATTTAGCTCAGCGACACAGTGCCTGCCTAGCAAGCGCAAGGTCGTGAGTTCGATTCCTGGTACAGGAAACAAAACAAAACAAACATAATACAGAGCCACAGTAACAAAAACACTATGGCCCTGGCAGAAAAGCAGATATTTAGACCAATGGAACAAAACAGAGGACCCAGAAATATATGCTGCTGAAGTGAGCACAGTGGATCCAGATATATGTCCATGCCTCTTCAGCTGATTCTTTTTTTAAAGACAAGGTTTTACTACGTAGTTCCAGTTGGCCTTGAACTCACTTTGTAGCCCAGGCTGGCCTCAAACTCGCAGCAATCCTCCTGCCTCAAGCTCATGAGTGCTGGGGTTACAGGCATGTGCCACCACAATGGCAAGCTGACTCTTGACAAAAAGTCAAAACATACACTGGAGAAAGGATGGCCTCTTCAACAAAGAGTGCTGGGAAAGCTAGATACCCACACTTAGAGGACTGAAATGAGATTTCTCACTATCACTCTACACAACTCAACTCAAAATGGGTTAAAAACTTTAGTGTAAGACCTTTGAAACTACAAGAAAACATATGGGAACACTTCAAGGTTCTGGCTCAGGCAAGAATTTACTGGGTAGGACTCCAACAGCTCAGGAAACAAAAAGAACTGACAAATGGGATTATATCAAATTGAAAACTTTCTGTATACCAATAAAAAAAAATCATCAGAGTGAAGAAACAACCTACAGAATGGGAAAAAAAATCTTTTCAAACTATTCACTGACAGAAGATTAATATTCAGCACATGTAAAGAACTCAAAAGCAAAAGAAAAAAAGAAAAATAAAAAAAAAATAAGATATATCATGGACAGGTACAAATTTCCTATGATGAATGCAATCATTACGTATACCTAAAATGTACCAATAAACTAATAAACTTAATTAATTTAAAAAATTTGCAAATTACATGAATGGACATTTTCTCAAAAGATACATGAAAGCAGTATACACATAGCAAATGTATCTACCTGAGCATCACTAGCCATCCCAATGGAAATGCAAATCAGAATGACATCACCTTGTCTCAGAATGCCTATAACTAAAAAGATAAACGTTGACAAGAATGCAGAGAACAGGGAACTCTTACGTACAGTGGGGATGCAAACAAGTACGTCCAGAGTACAGCACAGGTTTCCCAGAAAACTGAAAATAGAATATGACCCAGCTATCTCATTTTTGAGAATACTGTTCTATATTCAAAGGAAATGAAGTCGGTGTACAGATACCTGCACATCCATGTTTACTACAGTGCTATCCACAACCATCCACATGCCCGGCCACAGATGAACGGACAGAGAAAGTGGGGCACATACACACAGTGGATGCTATTCAATCATCAAGAATGAAGTCCTGTCATTTGCAGAAAGGCGAGCATAGCGTTAAGTGCAATAAAGCAGACAGAAAGGCAAGTGTCACACGGTTTTTCTTGTGTGTGGAATTTGGGGGAAAAAACGATCTGAAAGAAAGGGAGTTTTAGAGGAAGGGAAAGGGACAGGGCTCGATAGGCAGGACACAGTAGAGGGCAGAGGGGAGGCAGACGGCAGTAGAAAGGTGGGCAGGATCAGTGCACACTAAACGTGCCCATGGAATGTCACGGTGAAGTGCATTAACTTGTATAATTAATGTGTTAATAAGGATAATCACAGTAATAGATACCACAGTGACTACAATACTTCAGAATTCTGGGGGCAAAAGGGAAGATTCCACATGCTGTTTTTTCCTGGACAAGTCTTACAGGAGAATATGACTCTTTATAAACTGTACATACGTGCATCTTTAATGAAAGTAACTAAAACACAACCTAGCACAAAATACAAGCCACTATAAAAAGTTAAAAAGAATCTATTACTGGTTAAATATTCTGTTTTTTGAGACAGGATCTCAGAAGCTCAGGTTGGTACTAAACTCACTATGCAGCCCAGGCTGGTCCTCCTGCCTCAGGCTCCGGAGTGCTGAGACTATAGGCGCGTGCCACTAGGCCCAGCAGAATATTTCCTGAGAATCTATTTTATTCCATGTATCAGAATTCAGGGTTTTTACCCTACATGTACATTCACTCTCTGCTCTTCGAATACCAAGGTTCCAGACAATTCGTCTTTTTTTTTTTTTTTTTTTGGTTTTTCTCCGGTACCGGGAACCGAACTCACGGCCTTGCACTTGCCAGGCAGGTGCTTTTGCCGCTGAGCTAAATCCCCAGCCCTCGGTTCCAGACAATTCAATCAGAAGCTTGGGTGTGGAGCCAGCCCCAGGAAGCTTTAGTTTTCCAGGCGATTCTAATATGCAGGCTGAGACCAGCAGCACCAGAAGCTGTGGCCACAGCACAGCCAGCCACTACAACAGGGGAAAACTTAGGTACAGTACCAGCTCCCGTAGAAGCATACATTCCACTGAGGGGTATGTAAGTGGCAACTACAACCTGACCCCAAGCGCAGTGAGTTGAACACTTGAGAGGCCTGAAGGGAGGAAGCGATTTCTGTGAAAATCCCCAAGGCCTGTGCTGCAATACAGTATGTCAGTTATCAGTCAGTCCGCCAGTGTTACTGAAATTTAAATGAATGAAAACGAAATAAAAAATTCAGTTTCAGTCACACTAGCCACAATTCAAGCACTTGAAATGCACATGTGACTAATGGCCACTGGACAATGCGAACTGAGAACATACCCATCCTCACAAAAGGGTCTACTGGCCAATGCTGGGCCGGGAGCCAAAAAGGAGCAAAGTACGTATAGAGGGCTGAGTTATACAGCTACCCCAGCGAGCGAGGCGAAAGAATGCTGTGGTTAAGATGAAGAATGTTCAACAATCAGAAAGCAGGGTAAACTGAGCTAAAGACTGATAACTAGACAAGGCTAAAGCCGGCGACCAACAATACCCAGCCTGGAATGAGGCCAGCTGGGTTCAAATCCCAGCTCTGTCGCAGAACGGGCACACCTGGCCAAGTGATTTCAGCTCTCTAGGACTGGGTCTCTTCATCTGTACAATGGGGATTCTACCATCTACCCTGTAAGGCTGTCCTAAGAACTGAATGCAATAACACGTACAAAGGCTACATCCCATAGAAGCTGCACAGTGATGAAACTGTGTCATTACCATTCCAGATTCCAGAACGCACTGCCGTAAGTTTTGAAAGTGTAATTACCCGTGTGGCTCCTCTGATGGACTGCTAAAAAGTGACTGTACTTAAAAACTTTGCCACAGTCTTTACAATGGGCCTCGGGACCACCGGGGCGTTTTCTCTTTCCACACACCCTCTTGGCTGAACCCTGGTCGTCGTCATCCCCAATAAGTTTGTAATCTTTAAGTTTGACGGACCTCCGGATCCTCCGCTTGCTGTACCGACTTTGGCCATCCTGCCCCTCCTGTGTCTTGGGGTCACGGTTCTCATCTTTTTCAGCTGGTATTGCCCCAGCTCCACCTGCCTCACAAGCAGGCTCAGAGTCTTCCTGTTCTTTTGCCGGAATCTGTTCATTCAGTAGCCCACTGCCTCCTTCTTTAACCACGAAGTTCTGTCTATTCTGAACCGAATTGTTCACTCTGAGCTGTATTTCCTCCTCTGCAGCCAGTTCTGATTTCCCTTCCTGCAAGCTATTGACTTTTCTTGGTCTTCCCCGTTTCCGCTTTGGAGGGTCATTTTTCTTATTAGAAATAACAACCACAGGAGCACCAGCACTGTTCAAAGTCGTTGGCTTTGGGGAGCTATGAGTACTCTGGAAGTCTGTGTAAGCCTTGACCAGGTCATAGACTTTTAAGAATTGAGCAGTAGCCAGGACTTGTTCTGTGCTTTTCTCACTAGTGTGGAGATAACCCGTGTAAATAAACTCTAGCAGGATACCAAAAATGTCTGCAACCATGCCTTCCAGCATGTAAATGGACTGTCCGATCTCCCCCTCTTCTGCAAACATCATTGAGAAATACTCACTACTGGCTGCAAGTAAGGCTTTGTGGGCCCGGAAATGCACATTCTCCACAATTAAAGTAATGTCACAGAGAAAGCCTTTCTTTCTTTGATCCTCCAAACTGGCTAGGACGGTGTCACTGTGAGTGTCTGAGTGCACAACAAGCTGCCCTTCAGAAAGCTCTGCTGGTGCTTCTGCCATTTTCTTCACAAGCCACCAAGGCTCAACTCTGAAGTAAGAAAACAATGTTTGAACAGGATTAAGCACCATTTAACAAGGCCAACCCCAGCCTACGTGAACTTGCTGTTTCTGTCCCATCGCTAACTGAAGTTAGCACTGCCATTTTCTACTTAGAAACTCCCCTCTGGCTGGGCACGGTGGTGCACACCTGTAATCCCAGCACTCAGGAGGCTGAGGCAGGAGGATTGTTACGAGTTTGAGACCAGCCTGGGCTACAAAGCACGCTCAAGGCCAGCCTGAACTGCATAGCAAGACCTTGTCTCAAAAAGACCAAAAAAAAAGAAGGATACTCGGTTCTGGGTTCTCATTCCTATTGCACCTGACATAGCTGGGCTAATTCCCACTGCCCACATAACCTCTCGGAGTGCATCTCCTCCTCTGGAAAGAAGGGATGGGATCAAACCATCTGCAAAACCCTCCCTACACTAACTTTTTTTAAAAAAGAGAATAAAAAACCAACAAATATGATAAAGAATTTGAAAACAAGATGCTAAGAAAGCAACAATGGTTGTCATATTGCATATTGTTATCTTCAAAGTAGTTGTTCAGATTACCTACGAATTAGGAAAAAAATTTAGTCAACTGTCCTTCAGACAAAGGATTTCTATCTAGAACACATAAAGAACTGAAAAAAATCAGGTCCCCAATTCAAAGACCCAATCCAAAATGGGCATGAGATGAATACACACTTCTCAGATGAAAAAATACAAATGGCAGATAAATGTATCAAAAAATGTTCAATGTCATCGGTCATTCGAGAGATGCAAATTAAACACTGAGGTTCCATCTCACCCCAGAAAGGATGGCTATCATCAAGAAATCAACCAATTAACAAATCCTGCAGTAGTTTTTAGGGCCACACAATTATTGAGTGAAAGCCATATTGCCTCGATCTCACATGTTATTAACTATTTCATCTGTAGGAACAAATATGTATTTATTTATAGACAAGATCTTGCTATGCGGTGCAGGTTGGCCTTGAACTTGCTATGTAGCCTAGGCTAACCTCGAAGTCACGGCGATCTTCCAGCTTCAGCCTCCCGAGTGCTGGGATTACAGGCGTGTGCAACCACATGCGACAGGAACAAATATTTTAAAAGGCAAAGAAAATGCACAAGTGCAAAGTGAATATGGGGAGGCATAACATAAGCCGCGTGAGGCCTCGCACTGAAGAGCGGCGTAGCAGGGCCGGGCGGGCAGTGGGCAGCGGGCAGCGGGCTGCGCGCGGAGGTGCAGCCAGGCGCTCCGTTCCCTCGGACGGCAGCGCAGGGAGCGTCCCGGGGAGGCCCCAGCTAGGCCCGATCCGCAGGCCGCCGGGGAGGCACGGCCACGGACCCAAGCCCACGACGGCAGCGCGCGGCGGACCTACCTCTCGGCGGCGCCCGGCGGGGTACGCAGCGGCTGGACACCC